CCGCGGAGCAGGGAGCCCAATGTAGGGCTCAATCCCAGGACCTGGGATCATGACCTGAGCCGAAGGCACACACTTAACGACTGAGCCACCCAGGCACCCCAAGGCGAGGTTGTTTTAAGCTAAAAGTGTCAGGAAATAGTTCACATAAGAACTAATACAGACACTCAGCCGAGAAAGATATGCAGGATTAAGACATTCTGGGACAGGAGGGTAATGGTGTAAAGGCCAGTTCAGACAGGAAAACAAAGTGACAGTGCACTTGCAAAGAAATGAGAATAATGAATGGGGTTCAAAGTAAATGTAGTATAAGCAGCATGAAAAGGAATTGTAGAAATAGTTTACAAGGATATTGGATATTGATAAAGAAGGTTTTTGTGTGTGAAAAACCTTGGTAGTTCGGATGGTAAGAAATGTCCATGATACATTTCCCTGTTGTCGCAGGACATTTCTAGTATACATGTTGACCAGACTTGATCAGTATTAAATTAAGTATGGCAGTTGTTCAAATCGAAAGACCTCAGTTTAGATGATAAATTATATACGGTCATTTGGAAATGATCTTTGGAAAGGTACAAATGAAAAAGTCTGTCCATGAATTGATAATTGTTGAAACTAGGTAAGTACGTGGTGGTTCATTATACTACTATTTTCTTTAAATAATGGTATGTACTTCCCAAAATTAAAAAAATTCTTAAATGACATTCATAGGAGATGAAATAGTATTTCTATGGCATTAGTAATTTAATAAAACACAATATTTTCACATCACTCAATGTTTATCAAATAAGAAAAATCATTAAAAATCAAAAACATATTTAACCATTTTAAGGTGACTAAAAATTCATCTTCTTTCTGTAAGAAACTGATAATTTCAAGCAAGAATAAAAACTAAGAATACATACTCTAGTCGTTCTTCTTTTGCTTAAAGATATTTTCATTCTTATTTCCACTATAAATGGTTTAATTGAGAAATTATAGTAAAATCTCAAGAATATATGAAATTTCCTTAATTTTGACAATGTGCCACTTTCTATACTGATTCTGCCAACTGATTCAAGAGTTTTATGTATTTGGGGTTTTTTTTGTCAGACAGAAAATCTGTAAGTTCACCCAAGTTAGAACATTCCACAAACAAAATTCTTCTATTGCAAAATCTCAAATTGCAAAATACTTCTCCAGAAAATTGGCAAATATTGTCAATGTACAAGAAACAAAGCTTTTTAAAAGATAAATTGTATTTATAGCCTACAGTATCATAGGTTTTTAAATTCTTATATGTAGGTCCTTATTCAAAGGGTTACATGCACCCCAATGTTTATAAGCAGCATTATCAACAATAGCCAAATTCTGGAAAGAGCCCAAATGTCCACTGACTGGTGAATGGATAAAAAGGATACACACACACACACACACACACACAGGAATATTACTCAGCCATCAAAAAGAATGAAATCTTGCCATTTGCAATGACATGGATGGAGCTAGAAAGTATACTAAGTGAAATAAGTCAGAGAAAGACAAATACCATATGATTTCACTCGTGTACAGAATTTAAAAAACAAAACAGATGAACATGAGGTGGGGGCGGGGGGAGGCAAACCAAAAAACAGACTCTTAACCATAGAAAACAAACTGATGGTTACTGGAGGAGAGGTGAGCAGGGGGACGGGTTAAATGGGTGATGGGTATTAAGGAGGGCACTTGTGATGAGCACTGGGTGTTGTATGTAAGTGATGAATCACTAGATTGTACATCTGAAACTAACACGACACTATGTTAACTAACTGGAATTTAAATTAAAAACTTGAAGAAAAATGAAACAAATATATTTCCATCACCTGTTAAATAACAGACACACGTTAGCAGAAACAAATTTCACTCATTTGTAAAACGTATACAATTAAGGATATAAGGTATAACTACATCATTTTATGCAAAATTTTATTAGACCATCTAAGCTTAAAAGTTACTATTATCATATATAATTTTGCTCATTTTCTCGAATAAAACATAGTACTCTGAAAGGTCTATTCTCATTCTAGTGTATCAAAAATATTACAAAGCCCGTGTCCTTCAAATCTAATTATAAATTCAATAAATAAATCTAGTGATTTTATGCTAAGTGAAACAAGTCAGTCAGAGAAGAACAAATATCATATGATTTCACTCATATGTGGAATTTAAGAAACAAAACAAATGATCAAAGAAAAGAGACCAAAAAAAAGACTTAAATACAGAGAACAAACTGAGAGAGGGGAGGAGGATGGGTGAAAGAGGTGAAGGGGATGAAGAGTGCACTTATTGCGATGAGCACTGAGTCATGTATAGGATTGTTGTATTATTATATTGTACAGCTAAAACTAATATAACACTGTGTGTTAATTATACTTGAATTTAAAATTTTTTTAAAAATCTAATGATTTTAAATTGTTCCTTTAAAATAAAGCTTATTTTTTTCTTTTTTTTTCCAAAGATTTTATTTATTTATTTGACAGAGAGACACACAGAGAGAGGGAACACAAGCAGGGGGAGCGGGAGAGGGAGAAGCAGGCTTCCTGCGGAGCAGGGAGCCCGATGCGGAGCTCGATCCCAGGACCCTGGGATCATGACCTGAGCCGAAGGCAGACGCTTAACGACTGAGCCACCCAGGCGCCCCTTATTTTTTCTTTTAAAATTCTATCCTGAGCGGCCCTCTTGGCACAGTGGGCAGCGCGTCAGTCTCATAAAATTCTATCCTGGGTTTTAATTACTGAAAATCCACATTTTTTTTACTTATTTATTAAAAAAATCTACATCATAAATATGCTCTATAAAACAAAGACTTCTATTATTAACTTATTTATATGTATTAACTTTAGTCACTGTAACAACTGACTTTATACCCAACATTATTACAAAGAAAGAAACAGGTCTATTGACAAGTACGATATTACTTTCAGCCTAATGTTTAAATAAGGTTTAAACTTCAAAACATACATTGCCATTTAAATAAACTATCTTAACAAATAATGACTGGGATGTTTTTCCTCCAATTTTACACTCAGCTGAGGCAGCAAAAGCTATCGTTACGTTTTAAAAAGAAAAAAGAAAGTAACTCTAGGCTCCTAACCTTATTTTAAAAGGGAAAAGCAGCTACCAAGGAATACAGACTCTGAGTGTAAAATTAATACAGAGTCACAACAGAGATATCTGACTTTGCAGAAGCCAAGACACGCATATCTTTGATAAATGATGATGGGCAGAAGACCACTGATAAAATGTAAGATAAACACACTCAGAAAAACCTGGAATCTGAATCTGGCTGAGATGTTCATACTCTGTCCTGATTCACTGTTCTGCAGCCCACATACATAGAGGTAATAGATAGATTCATACATGGTTCCTTAGATACAGTCTATTTCTCTAATTCTTTTAATTATAGTAATGAATAATATAAATATAGTGTAATATATTAATGCATAAGACCTGTATAAGAAGAATATGCTAAAACAGGCCATGAAATATCCAAAGGTGCCCATATTATGTATAAAATACATTTGTGAATGAAGATGCTATTAACAAAAATATGCTCCTCAAAAACTTTTTAAATTTCTTTACATGTAGATGTGACAATATAAGATCCTACCTAATGATCTATATTTAATAATTATTAACCATAAATAAATTTCTGAGTATCATAAAGTCAATGATAGCTGTATTAATGTACTCATTTGTTCAAGAAATATTTAATGAGAGCCTACACTGTGCTAGTTCAATGTCCCAGGGGCTAGAGATATGAATGGTATACATTAGGGTTTGTGAGAAAACAAAAAATATCTCAATGAACATGATCTTCATTATTATCTTTGTAGATCTCCAAGAGAGGATTATAAGGTCAAGAAGACAAATTGTCATAATTCTTCTTCCTAGTCTACCAAATTATAAACTATGCATTATAATGAATATATATATTATATATATATATAACATTATGTGTTATATATCATATATAATGTATGCAATTACACATAAATGATAATGTATTAGTTCTATGTCAGGAACATGACCTGTTATCAGAAAGGATAATGTCTACTACCCAGGGCTTAATACATAGTAGATATTAGGTAAACACCTAATGAATAAGTATGTAAATAGTTGTGATATTTCAAGATCGACAACAATATGAGTTGGATTCCCTAGTTATAAAAAAACTGAAATCTGTTCCAACAAAACTATCTCTACAGCACATGCATAATCAGACTCTGAAAAAAACAGCTAGAGCTTTGATGGAGAATTATAGAAGTTAACATCCAAGAATGAAAACTACTGTTTTGCTAGTGTGTAGTGAAAAACAAATTCTAGTATATGTGCTGCCAAAGCGAGCACGAAAAAAAATTCTAACTCCAGACTTTCTTTGGACTCCGCTCCTGCTGGAATCTCCACCCTGTTGGCCTGCCCTACAAATCTGGGACTTGCCAGCCCCTACAATTGCATGAACCAATTCCTTTCAGAAAAAGAACCAATCGCCCAATCAGTGAGTATGTATGTGGCTCCAGATTCCTGCACTTTCAAACAGTACTGGAAGTCATGGGAGGTGGAGTAAGAAGGAGGGAGAGAAAGAAAGACACTGGCACATTTCTCTAAGTTTCAAATCCCTCATGTATGATAATCCGTCATCTCTTCAAGTATGTTATGTTAATGAAGTAACTCAACAACAGCTTTGAAAGTATGACATGGCTACATGAACCTAAATTAATCACAATTACTCAAGGAGAATATGTAAGGAGAAACTGAGGCAACACAGCACAAGCCTGCTCAATAACAGGAAAAAAATGTGTTTGGGGTTGTAAATACATACCACAAAATGAGAGTAGTAAGTAAGAGATCCACAAAAACACAGAAATATCATAACAATTGAATAACCACGAAATATTGATGTTACGATTACAATACGTTTGCTGATTCTATCAAATAGCATAAACTCAAGTGTATTATAAGAAATAAACCAAGTTGATACATACTTGTGACAAAAAATTTTTTTGTGAAAGTACAGCTATCAAAGGCAGCAATTTTCTCCTGCAAGACTACAACGAGGATCCTAAAATTAGAGGGAAAAAAACAACAAAAATGTGAATGTGAAATTCTGTAAATTAAATCATTAAATTTAAAGAAGTATCTACCAATGCAATTTAGGCAAGAAACATCAGCCTCTTAAAATGTAAAAGTACAACCACAAAATACTTACTGTAATCAAGAGAGACATGAATAGAAGAAGAAAAGTAATAGAACAAACTACAGCTCAAAACATTATTTTCCTCTAAATAAAATTTTATTTACATTCATTATAAATCAAATAAATCTATCTTCATTAGGAAGGTATGAAATCAATAAACTGCTGGCTATTTACTAAAAGTGTTTTTCCAGTGCTGGCTCAAAGTCATGGAATTAAACGCAAAATGGATTTATGTAACCTGTCACTTAAAATGATTGCTGAATTTCCCAACACAAGAGCGAAAGAAAGAAAGAAAGTAAACTCAGACAACTGTTATTCAGTATAATTGAGTCATTTCTGATTGACTCAATATATTAAAATTTAAGCAGGATATGTATGAACTATATTTCTCCCAAAGCCCAAGATTTATAAAAAATTAGGAAGTTATAAAATATTTTATAACCAAAATTTCTAAAATACATCCAAAATGAAGTTATTTTATAAATTAATATTTTGAGTACTTCTCTTTGCGTAACATTAATGTAAAGACCCAAATTTCAAAGTTATTTTAATAATCAAATAAAAGATTATAATTGTTACATATTTAACATACTCAGGGTATTTTTCCAAATTTGGGGGAGGTAAATCTGAGTAACAGATGTTAATGATGAGTGGGAAAAAAGAAAATGTTGTCTTTAACATGCACGCTTTATTAATCTTGTTCATTTGCTAATGCAGAACAAAATCCTTAACACAGCTGACAACACATAATAAATGATTCTGTCATGGCACTTAACATAAGAAACCAACCAATCAGCAGACCCAGGTTAAAAGGCTTAGCGAATCCATAATAAGAAGGTGACAAACTCAAATGAGAGAAAATGCAGAGAGACAAACAAATATGAAAAGCTTTTCTTATAATCAAGCAGCCCCTCCCCATAATATAGTAACATACAAAATCATTTCCACAAAGACGGTTTAATTTATTACGAATATTGCTAAGTCCAGAAGACTGTACCTTACAGCTGATTTGCAAAAACAAAAGAAGAATTAACCAGGGAGAATCAGAGCTGACATTTTATAGAGCAAAATCTAAGCAGTATCCTGACATCCACACAATAACTTTTCCTCTGACCTTTACCACATCTGAACTCATGCAACTTCTAAATGGAAAATCAATGTTTTAAAATTACATAATGTATCCAAATCAACAGATTTTTTTGTTGTTGGAGCATATCTTCAATGGTTTTTCTTTATGAACCTTAGCTACATCAACCAAATTTCCAGAGAATTTCATAATCACTTTTCATTAATGACATCTCATTTCATAAATCACTTTTATCTGCTTTTACTCCTACTCAGAAGTTTCACAATCATAATCACCTATGATGAGTACACAGATGACTATGAAAAGATTAACTGTATTAATTTTCAAGGTAATTTATATATGTTAAGATATTAAATGTGCTTATTATTTCACAGCTAAAATTAAAAGCAACAAACACAAAAATATTTGTTGTAAGAAAAGTTGACCTAACTGCATCATCCAGAAACACAGTACTTGGAACAAGCGCAGATTTACTGTAACAGTTTAAAAAAATAATGCAAGAAATATTTTTTTAAAAATTTAACTGCATTGTGTTTTTCTGTTTTCTAATATATTTGTGTATTTGTAATATAGGTAAATTATGACCTAAAAATCGTATTTGTACTTAATCTCCCTTTTCAAGTGTGTTCAATTTTCTGTTTGGCTAAATATGTACGTAATCTATTTTGTGGGAGCACAAAGGACACTTGAAGAGCTTTCATTATATTTTCCCAGGTTAAATATATTACCCACTGGATCCACCCATTCAATAATACTGATTTTGAATAATTTGATGTGTCATTGGATAATTACATTATCCCAGCAATAATATTTCTGTTTCCTATAATTTTGAGTTTGATATTATTTGAAGTATAAATATGCATAATAATTAGATCTCCACTATGAACTGCACACTATCACTGAACAGCTTTTCTTTGTCCTATTTCATGTTTTTGTACTTGAATTCAAAGATGTTTATCATTAGTATCAAAGCCCACATGTTCTTGTAGTTTGTATTTGTCAGGTATGTCTTTACCCTCTTTCTATAGGCAACCTTTCTGAGTCATTCTTTGAATCTCTTTAAAATCTAACCCGAGAGACTTTTATTACAAAATTTATTTTATATTGACACAGCATAAATTACTGTGTTTTCCATGTTCCATGTGTTTGCTTTTTGATGAGATGTAAGATTTACAGTTTCCATCCATGACCTCGATCAAGACATTTACCATTGCAGGGCTGCAGTTTTCTCAAATGTAGAAGGAAGTATTGAGTAATAGCAGATCCTTAAAGTCCCTATCTCCGCTAATGTTCAATGGCTATAAATTAATTCTGCATTATCGTTAGGTCAGGTTCAACCCAGATCTGAGTTTTCCTAGAGATATCAACAAAATAGATTTTAAAGAAGGAAAATCTATCTAGTCCATGTTTTAGCTCTACTGTGAAATAACAATATTTAAAAGTCATTTTTATTGTTCAGAATATGCTTCATTTTGATGAATGCTAATAGGAAAGTTATATTGCATATCATAAACCACAGAAGCACAAACATTCTGTCTATTAAAAAGTTATGTTATACATGTAAAAAAGTTCTTCAAAGCAATATTTAATCTTTATACATTTGCTCAGATACTTTTTATTCTTTTCCATTTCAGTTTTTAAATGCTAGTTATGACTCACTAAACTTAATTCACTCATGGGTCAAGACTGGAAGTTTGAAAACATTCATTCAGAAATCTTAACAGTTATTCCATTTGGCAGAATTCAGAAGGTATTTTGTGACTTCTTTACAAGATAAGTCAACGATGGTAAATAATACTAGTAGAGCTCTACCTGCCCAGGAGGTATCTTACCTTGAACAAGAATCACAGGAAGAAATTCTTACCGTTTGTTGCAATGGAGATCATAGATAGGTGTTTTAAACTGAATAGACTTGACCATCTCCCCAGTACGAAGTGAATAGAGATCTACACAACAGTAAGGTGGACTTGTGCTAAAAAAAAAAAGAGAGAGAGACACAAAAGCCATTATTTTTTAAAATGTGGGAGGGCCAGTAAACTCTACATTTTCAATGATTCATTATATACTATACAGTGGTTAACTGAACATAACAAAAAAAATTAATGAAAATTTTAAAAAGAACATGAATTATTCATATGGATATGAATAAAATACATGGATGATCAATAAAAAACTCTACATTTTCTTATTAACATGACATAAAACCCCTAATTAACAAGGAAATTGATATGAACTATTAAAAAAAATCATAATATATCCCAATTAACTCATTTCAGAAATGCAAAATTTGGGAAAAAGAAAATGAAACTCACTCACCAAGTTATTACTATAGAAAAGAAAAAAAACCATGAGATTTTTAATAAATCTTAATAAAGGCAAAGAAGTATTTGATACTTAAAAAATTGTTCACCGTAAGAAACATTTCATTAATCTGATCAAGTACAGCAACCTTAAAACTAATAAAAACTATCAATCATATGTAATGGTAAAACACTGAAAATCATCACCCTAAAATCAGGAACTAGACAAGAATACTCATTATCAAACCACATATACTCAACATAATATGGAAGGTCTTGTGCATAAGGCAAGAAAATAAATTACTATACGGAAGAAATAAAGCTGTCATTATTTGCCGAGAACTTGACTGTAAGTATAAAACTTAGTAATACAAATATGTATGTCAAAATATACATAAGACAACCCCATAATAGGGGTGCCTGCGTGGCTCAGTTCGTTAAATGAGTCATGCCTTTGGCTCAGGTCATGATCCCAGGGTCCTGGGATGGAGCCCCACATCGGGCTCCCTGCTCAGCAGGGAGTCTGCTTCTCCCTCTGCCCCTCCCCCCATTCATGCTTGTGCTTTCTCTCTCTCTCTCTGAAATAAATAAAATCTTAAAAAAAAAAAAGACAACCTCACAATAAAGATGAACCATTAATATATGGATTGTTAATATGGGTTGTTAATTAATTGATATATCAATTTACCCGGGTCACTAATACAACAGCACCTGTATTTTTATAAATTAAGCACAAACCATTATAAAGTGAAATTTTAAAATATACATGTTGAATATATGAATATACTGAATATCTTGGAATAAATCTAAGACTTTGACATATTTACACAAAAAGAAACAAAACAAAACAAAGCAAAATAAACTGAAGTATATACCATAGGCTGACAGACTTTCTAAACTGATACAGTTCTACCCTAATAAAAAATCGAAGAATGAGACCTCATTCTAAAATGTATATAAATATGCATTCCACATGATCAGACTTATATTGGAAAGGTACAGTAATTAAGACACTGGGTTCTTGACACTAGAACAGATAAAGAGATTGATGTTTCCATCTTAACAAAGTAGGAAAAGGAGAGCAAATTAAATCCAATAGAAGTACAATGAGGGAACTAATAATACAATATGAAATGGAATGAAAGTGGAGTAAGCAAAAGAAAAAAATCTTATGGAACTAAAACCTCGTTTTCTGAAACCAATCTAAACCAATCTATAAAGAAACAATCTGAATATCCCAGTATCTATAAAAGAAATTGAACTCATAATTTAAAACTTCTCACAGTGAAATCCTCAAAAATGGCTTCATTTGTAAGTTCTATCCATCATTTAAACAAAAATGTTTAGATACCCTACTAAATAAAAACTTAAAAAAATAAGTAAAATTAGAACTATCATCCAGCAATTCCACCTCTGGGTACTTATAAAAAAAAAAAAAACACTCAAAAAGATGCACTATGCACTGCCATGTTCATTGCAGCACTATTTACAACAGCTAAGACATGGAAGCAACCTGTGTCCATCAATGGATACGTGGATAGAGAAAATGTGTTAGATACAGATATAGATATGCAATGGAATATTATTCAGGCATCTTATATTAAAAAAAAAAAAGGAAATCTTGTCATTTGTGATGTGGATAGACCTTGAGGGCATTATGCTGAATGAAGTAAGTCAGACAAAGACAAATACTGTATGAACTCACTTATATGCAGAATTTTAAAAAACAGAAAACCTGAACTCTTCAATACAGAGAACAGACTGGGAGTTGCCAAAGGTAAGGGTAATGCAAAATGGGAAAAGATGGTCAAAAGGAACAAACACAGGGCGCCTGGGTGGCTCAGTCGGTTAAGCGTCTGCCTTCGGCTCAGGTCATTATCCCGGGGACCTGGGATCGAGCCCCGCATCGGGCTCCCTGCTCAGCGGGAAGCCTGCTTCTCCCTCCCCCACTTCCCGTTTGTGTTCCCTCTCTCGCTGTCTCTCTCTCTCTGTCAAATGAATAAAAATTAAAAAAAAAAAAAGGAACAAACACCCAATTATAAGATTAACAAGTCCTGCAGATGTAATGTACAGCATGGTGACTAGAGTTAACAATCCTGCATTATATATTTAAAAGTTGCTAAGAGAGTAGATCTTAAAAGTTCTCACCAAAAGGAAAAAAAATGATAACTGTGTGGTGACGAGTGTTAACTAGACTTACTGTGGTGATCATTTTGCAATATATACAAATATCAAATCATTATATCATATACCTGAAACTAACATAATGTCATAGGGCAATTATATCTCAATTTAAGGGAAAAAAAGTATTATGATACTGGTCTGAGCACAGACATATAGGTCAAGGGAACAGAATAGAGAGTCCATAAATAAACTCACACATATGGCCAAATGATTCTCATCAAAGGTACCATATAATTAAGTGATGAAAGAACCGTGTTTGAACAAATGTTGTTTTTAAAAATTAGATATTTGCATGGAAGGATTTAAAATTTCCCCTAACTTAAAAAAAAAAAAAAAAAAAAATTTCCCCTAACTTATATACAAAAATTAACTCAAAATAGATCACAGTCCAAGAAGATAAGAACCAAACATAAGGACCAAATAGTTTCTAGAACAAAATTTAGGTAAAAATTGCTTAAACAAGAAAAAGAAAGCATGAACACAGACATAACTGACAACCCAAAATTATCAAAATTGACAACTTTTATTTTTTAATATAGATATTTAAAAATGAACAAGCAAGTCCCATATTGTGAGAAAATATTTTGAAAAGATGAATCTGACAAACGGTTTGTATCCAGAACATAAAAAAGAACTCTTATCACTCAATAATAATGATACATACAACGCATGTTTTAATGGCCATAATATGTTGCAAGACACTATACCAAGATATACAGATAGCAACTAAGCACTTGAAAAGATGAAGTGAAATGCAAATTAAAACCACTAAACCACTAAGGGATACCACTACACTCACTAGAATGGCTAAAATTTAAAAGACTGGTAATACAAGAATGCAAAGTAATTAAAATGTCATACATTCCTGTTGGGAATGCAAAATGGTACAGTCACTTTGAAAAATAGTTTAGCAGCTTTTATACATTAAACATACGCTTACCATATGTCACATCTAGGTCATTTGTTATTCATAATAAGACAACACTTAATGTAGATCAATAGGTGAATGGATAAATATACTGTGATATACTGAAGCAATGGAATATCACTCAGCAATTTTAAAGAACGAGCTATCCATACAACAACATAAATGAATCTCAAAACCATTATGAAGTGGAAAAAGGCCAGATACAGAAGTCTATGTATTGCATGAATCCCTTTCCATGAAAAGGTAGAAAGGGAAAACTATAATTATAGGAAGCAGATCAGTGGTTGCCACGGGGCAGGGAAAGAGGGAAGTGCCATGAAAAAATGTAGTGGATGATGGCAACATTGCTGTGTCTTGATTATGGAGGGTCCTTACAACACAACTGTATACAACTGGCCAAACTGGAGGTGGGGGAGAACCTAATTAAAACCTGAACTTCAATCTCTAAAACTGACACAAGGCAAAAATTCTTTTCTTAATGTTCCCAAGTAATTAATCCAGTCCTCTGCTGAGAAGCAATGAATTAATAATGAATGAAATCTAACATTTTGCCAGACCAACTGGGAAGAAAAAAACAGCCTGTCACCTTCAATTAGCAGCTCATTATAGCAACAGTACACTAGAAACTTGAATTCTGATCATTTCACTGGCATCCATACAATGTCACAACTGAGATTCTTCCTGCACAAAACTTTCAATAGAAGTGTAGAGTTGACCGAACGAGGCTTGGTAGAATTGAAAAATCTATTTATATATGGAAAAAAAAGCTCTTATTCAATGCCTAACAGAAAAAGAAAATTCTTTTAAAACCAGAGTTTTCAGAAAGTCACACATCCATAAAGGAGTCATGCTACTTGCCAATAGCACAGTTATGTACACGCCTGACATATCCTTTTGTTTTTCTCTCTTTTTAAAAGCCTTGACTATTTCCCTGGGACACAGCAAGACGATCTTAATTTTCCTCATGGATAGGCTGATGAGAAAGCTTTCCATAACATCAGCAGTATGCATGCCCCATAACAGAAAGGATACGTGTCAAACTAAAACTAAAATATACAGACATGAAATAAGCTTTTACTTTGCACTCTAATATGCACCAGATAGTGCCACAAGAAAGTTGTATAGAGAATGAGTCTTCATTAGATCTCCAGAACTCAAATGGGTTAACATTTTTACAGGTTTGTGTCTGACATTAAACATAAAGCTATCACTTAACTTTATAATAAACCTGATTAATTCCTTAAGAAAAAAAGTTCCACATAGAAATGTTGAGAGCCAAATTTAAAATGTAACTAAATATATTGCAAGCAAACACCAGAGGTTGGAGAGAAAGGGGGAATGATGCAATCTGTATTATTAAATGGTTGGTTCAGGAAGTCTAACTTGTGGCCCCAGCACCTCTGTCTTTCCAATACATAGATACCAACATGCATAGTATAAAATTCTGTTGTACTTTTCATGATAAATATAAAAAGAAATAAACACAAATGGTCCTTAACTGACCTTCTCTTTACCTAAGTAGCTTGTTTTATGGTGAGTAACCAAGAATATAAGCTGAAA